GCCTCAGCCTCCCTGAGTGCTGGGATTACAGATGTAAGCCACTGTACCCGGCCTCTAATTCTTTTTTTTCAGCAACTGCTAGATTATTAAAAATATTTCTTAACCTAGAAGTCGTTTTGTGACTTTGGGCATAAAATTCCAAAGACTTTAAATAATCACGTGACTGTGCTAACCAGGTTCCTTTTATTTCCATTTACCAGTTTGTGTGAACAAGGTTTCTGAGCACTCTATGAAATTAAAAGATGGTAATCGAATTGACACTAAAAGACGTACTCATCAATGAACTAATTTGGCGGGAAAGCTCATTAATGATGCCTTTCTAATAAAATTTTATTTGTTATGTTTACTATTGTTTTATTTTTTGTTTTTGCTGTTACCCAATATATGATTATATATTAAATATATGTTAAACAGGAGTTAAGGAGAAAAATAAACTATGTAAAATTTTCAACTTTTAAAGAAATGTGCATCCTGGTTTGGTTTTTGTTTTAAATAAATGGTGGAGAGTATCAAATCACAGTAATATTTATGTACCAACATATATATTTCAAAGAGTAGCGTAATGGTTTTATTTTAAATTATCAATATACTGATAATTTATAATCAATTATAATTGATAGAAAATTAAATCCTTGCAAATGTTTAAATTTTTGTTGAAAAATGTTGGATGTCTTCCTAACATTACGTGAGGAGAGTGTTTTCATAACTATTTCAGGCAATACATATTCAAAAATGGTAAAGACCACTGTTGTATAGCATGTTTTCAGGAAAAAGTAACAGAATGTTCTACAAGTAATGGTTTAAACAAATAGTAGTTTAGTTTACAGGTAGAAACAGAAATCTGGAAGGAGGCAATTTCAGAGCTATTGAGGAAGCAGTAGTACTATCTGCTATAACCTCCTTTAAGGAATCATTGGTGTTTCCCCTCAAATTCCTATCAGCATTCTCTATATCTCCTATTTTTTTCTTGTTTATTTTTACTTGATTGTGGTATTTATTATGTTATTATGTGTTATATCATTGTAAAATGCATGTTTTATTCCCATTGATGGACCAAGAACTTGCCGAGGTTGGAGACTTTGTCTTGTACTTTGAATCTCTTACATTGTACATCACAATGCGTTACAGTCAAATCATAGGCCTTGGTTCAAGATTATCAAGTTCTACTGCTAGCTAGTGATGGAAAGCATCCATGAAGGCACCAACTGAATACTTGTTAAATACAATTGATAATTGGCAGAAGCAGCAAGTACTAGAGCTAGAATGAACCTTAGGTGCTGTCCAGTCCAGTCACTTGAATTTTATAGATGAGAACTTGAGGCTCAGAAAGACTCAGTTCAGAGACTAGCTTGCAGAAGATATAAGACAAACCACCACCAGAAATAAACACTAAAATTGGTCATCACTGGATGATGGGATTGCAGGTTCGTTTTGTATTTTACTAGGAGCAGGTGAGGTAGGGGTACATGTTAGTATCTACCAAACTTTATTTCAGTGGACATGTTACTTTTATATTTAGAGGACAAAAAAGCCAGATGACTCACTCCAGACTGGAATGCAGTGGCACGACCTTGGTGCACTGCAACTTCCGCCTCCCAGGTTCAAGTGATTCTCGTGCCTCAGCCTCCCAAGTAGCTGGGACTATAGGCGTGCACCACCACGCCCAGCCACTTTTTTGTATTTTTAGTAGATATGGGGTTTCACCATGTTACCCAGGCTGGTCTTGAACTCCTGACCTCAAGTGATCCACCCGCCTTCTCCTCCCAAAGTACTGGGATTATAGGCGTGGGCCACTGCTCCAGGCTGCAGTTTTATTTTTGAAGACAGATACAGAAAATCCTTCCAGAGTGTCATAATATAAAAATCCGATCATTTTAATAAAATAGCACAACAATGTACAAATTATTTTAAATACCATCTAGTAATTATTTCCTTGAAAAATATATTACTGTATTTAAAGTCCAATCATTAATGTATGATAAGTTTCTTTTAATCAGAAATACGTAGTACAGAGAAATGAAATATTGACTAAGATCAATATTGACTAAGATCAATTAGTATCTAATTTCTCAGTAAAAGTAACCTAAGTTTTGAAATTATATTTTAATTATTCTGTTGACTTTTTAAAGCTACAAATGTTAAAATGTTAAAAATAAAATTAATATATGACTACATTAAAAATATATGTAAGCATAAAAATGGAGTTACTTCTTATTAATTCAGCCTCCCTTTATGTACTCTGTAAGTGGTTCCAGAAATTTTTTCTTTTTCCAATCACTTGTGAGATACTTGCTTTTAAATAGAGATAAATACGATTTCTTAATTGATTGTGCAATTTATATATTTTACTTTTATTTCAGTTTTAAGTAGAGGATATTTACCTGAGGAATTGTATGTAAATCAAACTTATTTTAAATGCACATGGGTAACTCATTATAATCCTATGACGAATTCCTTTATAAAGCAAATACTCACCCCTTATTTTATCTTTTGTGTAAATACCGAGTTTGCTTAAAGCAAGATTTGCCTGGATTAAAGGTTATGTTCATTGGGAATACTTTTTACACTTTGAAATTTAACATCTATTGCTTTATAGTGAAAGTGTCTTTAACTCTAGATTGAGATAAATAAGAAATACAGATCGATTCCTCCTCTGATTTATTGTGATTCCCATGGGTGAGTCATTTAGTTTACATGTCTTAAGTTTATTTATAGAATAAATATAATATAGTAACAGTCCTTTCTCATATAAGATATTTTTACAAGATGCTTAGGTAAAATACAGAAATATTATTAAACTAGGTATGAAACATTTCAAAATGATGATGATAATGATGACATACTTTATATTGTACACTGTATTTTATTTTTTCAGACAATTTTCATATGCACCACTGTTTTTAGTATTTTTTACTACATCTCTCAAGTAGTCATAGCAGGTATTAGACCCCATTTTATAAATAATTTGACTTTTCTGAAGTCACACACTACACATCACTCAACCAAAAGTCAATTAAAAAGACAAATTTATTAAGCCTCTATTAATTGTTAGTTAACATACTAAACCTGTTAGGGTATAAGTAATGCCCTGTAGCACTTGTTTCTTTATAGACAGTTAGAAATTAAAAGGTAATTGTTGCATGTTAAAACTTATGGAATAAAAGTTTACATATTACTATATTCCACTGTACTGTTAGGGGAAGAAAATTAATATTTATTTTAAACATCATCTGCCAATTTCTTAATGTTGTTTTAAGCCTTCCAAATACTGAGAGTGGTTAAGTTTATTTTATGCATGAGGAAGAAACTGAGACTCAGAAAATAAAACAATTTGTCAGAATTCACCTAATCAGTAAGTGGCAGAGCCTGTATCCAAGCTTAGGTCTTTCTGATTTAATAACCGCACGAGGCTGAACTTCCTGAATTTACGTAAAATTTGTAGTTTAATACAAGAAAAAAGGTTTTAGCAGGGCCTCTTGAGCATAATTTTAGAGTTGACTTTTTGTTACATAGAACATTTTATTGAGTGAGGAATACCTTTAGCATCCTGGTCTTCTAGTCCATAGAGCATAAGAACCCAAAGGAATCTTAAAAGATCACACAGCCCAGTGTTCTCATTCTTTTACCTTCATATAGAATAACATAGCAATTATAGTTGATGAAACTCCACCCTATATCTCAAGTCATTCATTTATCCATTCTTTCAGAAGATATTTATGAGGGTGTACTAGGTGCTGGGTTTACAGTAGTGAATAAGACGACATGATCACGGTTGTTGTGATTCTCACATTACTTACAATGTGATAGAGATAATAGAGATTAGTCAGCACACACACAAATGTATTATTATACACTGACACATAAATGCATTATTATATACTGAGCTAAGTACTCTAAAGAAGAACTTGTAAAAATTGAATTTGAACTAGACATTGAGATGAGGACGGCTAATGAGATCTCTAGGATCTAAGTGAATTGGTGGCAAGAAAAGCATTTCAAGCAGAGAAAAATCATACGTGTTGTGTTCAAGAAACTAAAGGAATGCTTAAACAATATAGGAAGGAAAAGCATGTGGTATGTGATGAGACCAGAAAAGGATCAACAAGGAGCACATGATGCCAAACCTGGTAGGTCATGTTACGGATTCTTTCTCCTAGGAGTGTTTGGAAAGCCACTTAAGGTTTTGGTTTGCCTTTGCTTATTTATTGTTCACTTGGTGTGAATGAACTCCCTGTCAATTTCTACATTGATAAATGTGCCCTATTCGCCTTTTGACATCCTCCTTACGATTGCTACCAAGATCTGTTCTTACCTAGTCACATGGCTTCTTAATACTCCGTTGTCTTGCCCTAATTTTTATTTCCATATCTCGATCTATGAAACCCTGTTACAGTATATTGGGTTAGGAGTTTGACATATATTTCTACTTCTTTGTCCCCCTCCCTCATCTCTCATGTATAATTTTTCATACTTGCAAGTCTCTTCAATAAAGTAGTTATAGTTCGCAGGGAAACTGTCGGTATAGAAGACTGTATACCATTTTATCAGTTAATTCATGTATTTAGTGATAATCCACTTAGACCAGTGTTACCCAGCAGAAGAACTCTTTATAGTAGTGAAAACGTTATGTATTTTCACTGCCCAGTATGGTAGTTATTAAACTGCATATGCCTTTAGCACTTGAAGTGTAACTATTGCAATTAAGAAACTTAATTTTTAATATTAATTTAAATTTAAGCCTAAATGGGAGGATCACTTGATGTCAGGAGTTTGAGACCAGCCTGGCCAACATGGTGAAACCTTGTCTCTACAAAAATACAAAAATTAGCTGGCATGGTGGAACATGCCTGTAATCCCAACCAGTTCAGAGGCTGAGGCAGGAGAATCACTTGAACCTAGGAGGTGGAAGTTGCAGTGAGCCGAGATTGTGCCACTGCACTCCAGCCTGGGTGATGGAGCAAGACTCTGTCTCAAAAAAATTAATTAATTAAGTTAAATAAATTTAAATGACCATATATGGCTAGTGGCTACCATATTAGCACAGGTTTAGATCATTTTATATATACTAAACCCATCATTAAGTTAAAATGAAACTATGCCTATGAGTCCAAAAACAGAAACTTATCTCTAACAATAAAAATCCATATTACAAGTTGCAATAGCTCTTTCCTTCTGAAAAGTACATTTTTAGGAGACCTCAGTTAAGAATCTTGAGGTTGATTTTGTCCTTTTGTCTAGATATAATATTAATTGACTTCCCATGAAATCCTATACATTTCTGCTGCCTGTAGTTCAACACTGTGGATGAGGAAAGAGGGGATTAAGAAACAGTGAGAAGGAATTAGTGTGGAACTCTGCATCTGCAGAGATTTTAGGTTTTAAAAAGCTTCTTTCCTAAAGGTTTATTTTCTGGTCATTCTTGAAAAAAAAAAAAAAGTTCTTTCTACTCCACAGAGTTCCCGACCACAACTGCTCTACTGTACTTGAAAGAGCACTGTACTGAGGGCTCGATAAGTGATGACTATTCCTGTTACCAGCAGTGCCACAGGGAGGAGTAAATGAAATAATATGCCAGGCTTAGCTCCTAGACCTCCCTAAACTGCGTCTGTGTCCTAGAGGGAGAACTGAATTTGGAAACCACATTCAACCCTATGAATTGTGAGAGCAGGCAACCTGCCTGTGTCTCTAAGCCCAGCCATTCTTTACAGTCGATCAGTTTTAAACTCTTCTGTGCTCCCTGCTCCCAGATTTTTCTATCACTTTTAGTCTCTCCATGAAGCCCGTGTGGAACCTTGGCTCCAGTGTAAATACATATCAATAAATACGCATTCTCTTTCAGAGCATTTTTTTCTTCCTCTGCCTCTCATAAACTTGACTCTGACTTTCAAGGATGCTACTTCCTGTGTTTCCTTGTTTGCTCATTTTTCACTAGAAAGTTATTAAGTAACTTTTATTTTCCATGTATTATGCTAGATTATGGCAATACAAAGAAAAAGAAAGAAGAAAGAAAGAAAAGAAAGAAAAAAGAAAGAAAAGAAAACCAATCCTTTCCATTATGCCCCCAAAACATGATAGTGCTTGAAGGAAATGAAGGGGAAGTATATGGTTAAAAATACAAGATATGGAATGAGACAGACTGAATTCAAATTCTGATTCCAGTACTTGCTAGCTGTGTGAGCTTGAATGGTAATAGGACTATTTCATAAAGTTGTTGTAAGAATTGAATGAGATAGTTCATGTATGGCCATGAGAATGATAACCAGCACACAACTAACCCTTACTGAGTGGTGATAGTGCTTTTATTGCAACTTTGATTACTGCTTCTACCACATTTTCTACAGCTGCTACCACTATTTCTGTTAGTGTTACTATCATTATCCTTTTCTCAAGGACCTCTGATTTTTTATTAGGATAAATAATCAACTGCAATATACGAATATAATAGCTTTAGTGGAGATATCGGCAGAGACATTGGGAGTTTTGGAAGAGGAAGCATCTAAATCTGCCAGGGTGAGCTCAACAGGCTGCTCAAAGGAGGAAGCCATTCGCTTCCTCTCATTCCTATAAACCCCAGGACACAGAGGCCACCATTTTCCGACAGCATTATTGCCCGTTCCAGATTATTCCTTTTTTACTCCTGGGTAAAACTTTTTTTGTTTTCTGAGGTTCATACTACCATCTACCTTTCGTTATTTGCCCTCATTCATACAGGACTTTGGCACTTGAATTAGTCTTTCTTTCCTCCATCAACCTCAGCTATCCTAATTGGTGACAACATGTGTAATGGTTGGAAGGGACATGGGCTTTGGAATCAGGAGACCTAACTGAATTCCTGCTCTGCTGCTTAGTTATGAAATCTTTGGCAAACCTCTTAATCTCTCTGAGCCTGTTTCTTTATTTGCGGAATGGTAATAGTAACTACCCCTAAAGTCGTTTAAGGATTAAATGGCCTTGGTAAGGGCTCAATGCATGTTGAATACTCCTATGACCAACAAAGCCATGGCAGCAGTTGGATGGAATAGTACATGCTGGCACCTAGCACAGTTTTTTTTTTTTTTTCCTCCTGGAATCCAGCGTTCTTCATCTGATTGCTACTTGAGACACTCCCCTGGCTGCTCTTAAATATAACCATCACCCAGAACTAATAGAGCTCTGAAGTTTTGAATGGTATTATACCATTTTCTTACCACAACCTAATACTCTCTCAGAGTTTTTCTTATGTTCACTACCTATGTTCTTTAGACTTATTAAGACTGCTATTTAAATTTGGATAAACTTATCGAAATATGCTTTCACTCCCCTTTTTCTTAGACTTAGAGGAAAAGATCTCTCTTCTCCTGTCCTAGGCTAACTCTTAACACCTATGCTTTTGATTGAAAGTGTTTTTTTTTTCTTTTCCAAAAGCTTCTTTCATCATCTACTACATTTTTTAACCTCCCCTTTAATTTTCTTTAACTCTAATGTGTTTTCTCTCTCTCATACTTTGAAAGCCAAACTTCTAGAAAGAGTAGATGACAGTATAGGCCCTTCTTCTCCACCCTACCATGATATTATAATCCTGATTTCTTCCCACATCACTGTCTAGAAACTTCTCTGGAAAAGTTCACCAGTGACCCCTCCAGTTGTGTTTTCTCAGTTCCCGTCAGACTTGATTTCTCTATATTTAACACCAGTGACCACTCCCTTCTTAAAACATTTCTTCATGGCCTCAGTGATACCACTGTCGCTTGGGTTGTTTCCTGCTCTGAACATTTATTTTTATTCATCCTACCCAGATTCCACTAGAAAGAAGAAAAAAGATGTAAACACACAATGACAAAGAAGGAACATTTCAGCAGATTAGAGATTTCAGCCAATTTCTAGAGCTAGAAGCACTTGGAGATTTGCACCTAAGTAGGCAGGTAGAATAAATATAAACTTAAGAGTCTGGTAAAATAAATGCTGATTTGTCCCTCACAGGCCCTAGAAAATGTGAAAACTTCAAAATAGGGTGGGGCACGGAGCTGAAATAGTATGTCTCAGTCAAGAAAGTAAATCTTTCTTTTCTTCAGAAATTTACTAATCTGAGAAAAATAGACAAGATAGTAACATTGTAAGTTTCCACCATGAGGAGACACTTGTATGATCATCCTGTAGAAAAACTTATATGTTGAAAAAGCTCTTCTGATCAGTTTTGTAGTGCCTTTTTAAATATTGACTAGATAAGTAAGGATCACCAGATATTTGAGAAAATATTTCAGTATAAAGAGAGGAACAAACAGGAAAAAAGGACCTGCTCATTAAAAGATGCCATAGACAGATAATTTATAAACCAGGTATAGTAAAATGTTAATAGTAGAATCTAGATAGTGGTATATGGGTATTCATTCTAAGATGCTTTTAACTTTATTGAATATTTGAACATTTTCTTCATACATTTTGAAGAAAAAGTAAAAGAAATGTAAAATAAAGTGGGAGATTAAAATGAGGAAAGAAATCAAGAGATCCACAAATATGAACAGACTTTATGGTTCATAGGTAGGAAGATTCAACATAGTAAGGACGTCAGTTTTCCCCAAATTGATAGTTAGGTTTAATGCAATTCTTATCGAAATCCCAGCAAGATTTTTGTAAATATAGCAAAGATTATTTTTAAATGTATATGGAAAAGCAAAGGAACTTGAATCGCAAAAACAATTTTTTAACAAACAATAAAGTTGTAGGAATCATCCTACCAGATTTCAAGACTTACTGTATAGCTACAGTATTCAAGACTGTGTGGTATTGGCAGAGGGAAAGGCACATAAATCAATGTAACAGAATAGAGACCCCCAAAAATAGCTCCCCCCTGCACACACACAAATACAGTCAATGGATTTTTGGCAAAGTTGCAAAAGCAGTTCAATGAAGGAAGAATAGTCTTTTCAACAATATTTAAAACTAGTGTTCTGGAAAAGTCCCTTTAAAGGGATGAAAAGAAGCTACGCACTGAGGGAAAATATTTGCAAACCACATATCTAGCAAAAGACTAGTATCTAGAATATATAAAGACCTTTCAAAATTTAATAGTTATAAAACAGTTAAAAAACAAAACAATCTAGTTAGAAAATGGACAAAAGACATGAACCTCCATTTTACCAAGGAGGATACACAAATAGCAGATAAACACACAAAAAGATGTTTAGCATCGTTATCTATTAGAGAAATGCAAATTAGGACCACAATGAGATATCACTACATAGCTATCAGATTGGCTGAAGTAAAACATAGTGACAGCATCAAATGCCAATGAGGATGTGGAAAAACTGGATTACTCATACATTGCTGATGAGATTATAAAATGGCGTAGCCATTCTGGAAAATGTTGGCAGTTTTACGAAACTAAACATGCAACTACGATACTAACGAGCAATCGCACTCTTGGTCATTGACCCCACCGAAGTGAAAACACTGTTCATAGAAAAACCTCTACACTAAGGTTAACAGCAGCTTTATTCATAATAGCCCAAAAGTGGATACAACTCAGAAGTCTTCCAATAGGTGAATGGTTAAACAAACTATGTACACCTATACAATGAAATACTACTCCGAATAAAAAGGAATAAACTATTGATACATCAACAACTTCACTGACTTTTCAGAGAATTATGCTGAGTTTAAAAGCCAATCTGAAAAGGTTACGTCATACCATTTGTGTAACATTATTTAAATGACAAAGTTATAAAAATAGAGAATGGGTTAGTGGGTTAACAGGGATTAAATATAGGAGATTGAGGGTTGGAGTGAAATGGGTAAGGCTATAAAAGGGCAACATGAAGGATCGTTGTAGTAATAAATTGTTCTGTATCTGGTCTGTATCAGTGTCAGTATCTTAGTTGTGATGTTACACTATAGTTTGCAAAATATTATCATTTTGGGAAATGCGATAAAGGTGCACAGGATCTCTACCAACTGCAAGTAAACCTACAATTATCTCAAAATAAATATTTCATGTAAAGATTGATAAATCATTCAGCAGGCAAACAAAAAGACAAATTTCAGGAGGAAAAAAGTAAGAAAAACTAACAGATCAACTCAGAAGATCTAACATTTAATTATTAGGCATTCCAGAGACAGAAAAAAGCAAAAACAAATTTTCTCACACTGAAGGACCCAGATCTCTTGATTGTGAGGTCTCACCCAACACAGTAAATGAAAAATGCACACTGCTAGAGAAATTAAAAACTTCTAACAGCATCCAGAGGAAAAAATCCAGATCACATTCAAAGCAACGAGAATAAGCATTTTTTTAATCAGCCTATTGAAAACTTAAGAATATGAAGAAGAAAACAGACAAACAAGTGGAAAAAAATCAACTCAAACAATAAGAATATGAAGAAGAAAACAGACAAACAAATGAGAAAAAATCAACTCAAACAATACACTTCTCAACCATTCTCACTATTTGAGTGAGTTCTTCAGCAAAAGGTGGAAATGAACTGAGAAGGTGCGGGATCCAGGGAACAAGAGGTGTGGCAAAGGAGAGAAATGACATGAACACCCAATGAGAGCCAAGGAAGTTCCAGGACAGATCTGGAGAACAACAGCTCAGATGAGACCAAGTAGACAGAGGGCTTTGGGAGGAGATCACTGGAGGCTGAAGAGGAGGGAGGAATAAGGGATGGGCGTATTTTCAGATATGTTTTAATATTTGAAAACTAACAATGATAAAAATAAGAATGTAATAAAGATAGACTGGCAGGTACTAGAAAAATTAAGAAGGCTGGCAAGTACATAGAAAAAGTAGCAAAAACAAGACAAGTATCAACTTTAGGAGAAACAAAAAGAAAACCTTAGCAGCAGAAAGTATTCATGTAGTCATAATAATGTCTGTATTCACAATTGATTAATTAAAAAGATGCTATAATTGGAAATAGAGGGTTGAGAGATTAAAAAAAGAGCTAAGTCTATGATAATAGAAAGTCAGTACTTCACATCTAAAATCAATGAATCACAAGCTATTGGTATAACCTTATTCTTTAGAAATATAGCATTAAATACAAAACAAAAGGACTAAAAGAGTTGACAGTGGTTTCTCTCAACAGAGCTTAGGAGTCAGGATAGATGGAACAAGAAATTGCTGTTTTTAATCCTTTTAGTTTTTTTTCTTTTAAACTGTGTGGATGCATTTGATTTAAGAAAAATGTTTTTCTTTGAATCAAGAAAAGGCACAATCCAAATCAGAGGGGAAATATCTTTGTCAAGCTGTCAGAGGAACTACAGTGAATGATTAATTAATTTGGTAATTAATCCAGATGTTATTGACTAATACCAATAAATGTCCATTCCCCCATCACTGGTGGAATCTGACCTGCCTAGGAGCATCACTGTCACTATCTTTGAGCTTGAGAAATACTATATTAATGCATAGACAAGGCCTATTAATGAAGAGGCTGTTTGTTCCTGGTTTTAATACCACAGAGGCTAGAGAATGCAAAGAAGTCTTAGAGAGTCCCAGGACATGTAAACCCTTTCTAGCCCCTTGCCCTTCTGCAGTGTGGTGTGGTGAAAACACCTTATACAAGTAAGCTAACATTCAAGCCCTCATTTCTGTATTTGGAACATGAGCCTAACCTTGTAAGGATTTTGTGAAGATGGGAAATAAACCATGCCACGTGCTTAATTAGTACATAGAGGTACTCGGTATTATGGTTGTTGAAATCATAAATAGCATTAATAGTAATGTTAGTATCATTCCCTGTGATTGTGGGCCTTTAGTGATTGATTTGCCATAATACCTCTCTCAATTTCCTAGTCCTTGATGTTTACAGTTAGTTTTTTTATGCAGAATACTGCCAGAGGACTGGGCGCATAGCTAATGATAACAACTCCTGTGGAAAAGGTACTGCCAGATACGTCAGTGTTAAGAGTCCCAGGGGCAGCTGAAGCAAAATGGTCTGGGCTAGGCTATGTGAGAAGGCAAGGTTTTGATGATGCAGTAACTTCTTTATTTTTGATGTTGTTGAACTTGTTCTCAGCCAGACTCTAAGTTGTTATAACTGTGGAGGGAATAGGTCCAAGGTACCTCAGCTGATGCTGCAGAATTCATATCAAGGGCTTTGTGTATTGCTCCTGGGGGCATAGCTAGACAATGTAATATTCTTGTATTTTTAACATTTTTTTATAACTCCAACAATCAAAAGGTCATAATTTGTTGTAATGATGCTATAATTAAGTTGTGGTAAATGATAGCATTTGTAGATTTTATAACCAGAATTGATTCATAAAATGAATACAGTCCCAGCAGTTTATGTTAACATAATTAAATGGAAATGTAATTCTAACTCAGTTTGCTTATTAAATTGAAAATTACCGGGTTATGAGCACTTTTACATTTCTGTCAAAATTGGTCTAAGTCTAGAATTCAATGAAATATCCATTAAAATAAAGCATATTGAAGGCTCTGTTGCTGGTGACAAATAAATTCCTTAGAGCACGTGTGACTTGATCATGTGAGGGCATGTGCTTTTAGTTAGGTTCCCTCTAACTGCCTTTCTCTTTCCTCTGCAGCCATTGGTTTAGCCCTGGGGCTAGGACAGAGCATGACCAGGTAAGGACCATTGTAATCCAAAAGGAAGTTACTCAGCCTCTTTCAAGTATTTAACTGTCTCCCTTCAAGAGAGTAGATCAGCTCTATGAGAAAAAATACAAATCCCTGCTCATTTTAAAAAGTGTTAATTATGCCAACGATTAATACACTGACCAAATAAATGCATGATCCTTAATCAGCATGAGAGTTTTCTTTCCTTTACTGCCACCGTCTTCAGTCATATGTGTGACCTCCGTGGAAAGACTCTGAAACTCACTCATTTGTAGGAGCTCACTATTGATCTTTATTTTTCACAAAGTTAAGGTATCAAAACAGTACATGTGCTTAAAAATTAATTTGTATTAAATCTAAGTTCAGCCAGGAAGAGAATATTTGTATCTGAAGTTTAGAAGGTAGGGTGAAGAGTTTCTTATACTTTTACATTATATTTCTAGATGAATTTTTTAAAATCTAATGCGCTGCTCATCTTTTAAAAGTGTTAATGGTAATGCCAACGATTAATACACTCGACCACAATAAATGCAGATCCTTAAATGCAGCATCGACGAGTTTTCTTTCCTTTACTGCCACCGTCTCAGTCATATGTGGAGGACCCCTCCGTCGGAACCCCACTCTGAAACTCACTCAATATTGTAGGAGCTCTACTAATTGGATCTATACTTTGTTCACAAGTTAAGGTATCAAGAACAGTACACTGCTGCGCTCAACCAGAGCTTAATTTCGCGCGCAATCCCGCAGAGATCCTAAGGCCCCAGGAAAGAGACAATAATTTGTATCTGAAGTTTAGCGAGTAGCCCGCCGTCCACTACTTGCCCATACTTTTACAATTATATTCCGCTCCTCACCACATTGTTTCACAAATCATCCTTTATGGCATCGACATGCACACAATGATTAGTTTGTGAAAGTTAGTTCATCTAACATAATTCATATCCTTAAACAGACTCCTCTTGAATACTATTTAGTCATATCTCTAGGCCAGCTTAAACTTGTGATGTCATTAAAGCATATAACAGTTTTAGAGTTTTGCATCCTTTGCAAAGTTTGTCTCTTTATTATTGTGAATGATATAACGCTGATTTAAAAGTTATTTAAATAGCGAGTGACTATCAAATCCATCAGGGATCAATTATCTTCCTGAGGGGGCTACACAGGAACAGAGAAAAATAAGGTAATGAGCAGGACTTTAGTGCATATTATAGTGACCATTGGACAATCCAGCTCTACTAAGTAGATATCTTATCTTGAGGTAGACAGACCACCCCGCGGCTCTCACACGGCTGCTGCACACACAAATACTACCATATCCTCTTACACAATTCACAAGGAACGGCGCTATGGCACTTCATTAATGCACCTTCTTTATTTCTCTTCACACACAACATACTAATATAACTTTTCAATTTATCATGATTTATTTTAACTTGCTATATTTCAATGAAGAGTGGAGATGCTCACTTATTCAGCATACTTCTCACTTAATGACAATGATGCATAAAACTTATTTCTAAGACTTCAAACACTTAGCCTAAGCACAATCGATGTGTTCATTCCTCTAAACAACAAGGCGCGCACGGAAACCCGAGAGATCACATCATAATGTAACTTTACTAAGTTTGATTCATAAGAATAGTGGCACATAGTCTTTTTGGAAGTATCTTAACGCGGTATCCCACTCTCATGCGGCGCAGCCGGCCCCCCGGGCCGCACGGGACAAGCAAGCGTCAATCATGAAAACTGAAAGGTATTATCTATTAAAGCTTATGTGTGGTTAAAGAAAATAAAGAAGGTATCATTACAATGAAGCTCTGCCATACGGCACTTCCCTTTTCAAGGGAACTAGGCGTATACTCGCCCCGCTCCGAACCTGCTGCCAAAACACAACACAAAACAAATACACACAATAATGAGCAAATCTGCCATTAAACCAAATTACCATTAAACACAAGTCCTTCAACTACCTAATTTCTCTGCCAAAAAATAAACCAACCTACAAAAGAAATGATCCCTCGAAGAAAATTGAAATTTATCACCCTAAAAAACACGCGACAGACAACTTATATATAAATAACATTATAAAATAATTTTCTATCATTCACATAAACAGATACAAAACTTTGCAGAGATGACAGAACCTACTAAAATAGGGTATATGCATATATAAACATCACAGTTTAAAGAATGCTTCTGAGAGGACTAATATAATACAAGGGCTACATGCGAATTTATATGTAAAAATACAAACTGTAATCAGAACGTCAACGTTCTCACGTCAAAATCACTAATCATATGTGCCTCCATAGTATAACAATAAGAGCATTTA